GAAAATATACCTTGATGGAGGTTTTTAGCCACTTGGTGAAGTAAAGCTTTCCACAGCATAATATGGAAGCAATATGGTAGCAGTGAGGGTCAGTCAAAAGTTGCGCGAGTGGAGTCGACCTTCAAAAAAGACTTGTTGGCACGTGTTTATGGCGCGGTAGCTGGGAGTTGGCGGTGTTTCGCGTGGTGTGGCATCACTGGCGGATCCGGGGGGGGGGGGCACGGGAGCCTGAGGTGCCCCTGACAGACCCGTGGTGCCCTTGGTAGGTCTGTGGTGCCCCTGGACCCTGGCAGGCCTGTGGTGCCTCTGGCGGGCCTAGGGTGCCCCTGCTAGGCTGCTGATGCCCCTGGGACCTGACAGGACTGTGGTGCCCCTGACAAGCCTAAAGTGCCCCCAACAGGCCCGTGATGCCCCCGACAGGCCCAAGGTGCCCTTGCGTGATGCCGTGATGCCTGCGAGGCCGGTGGTGCCCCTGCGAGGTCGGTGGGGCCCCTGACAGGCCCATGGTGCCCCTGCGAGGCCGGTGGTGCCCCTGCTAGACCGGTGGTGCCCCTGGCAGGCCTGTGGTGCCCCTGCTAGGCCGCTGGTGCCCCTGGGTCCTGACCAGACTTGTAAACGACTCTGAGTTGATTCGTGAATCGACTCAGAATCAAACCGTTTTTCGATGAGTCATGAGTTGATTCGAATCACTTCATCGAGGAACTTGATGAGTCATGAGTTGATTCGAATCAATTAAATTTAACATCATGAGTCATTTGATGAATCGATTCAAATTTTCAGACTCAAACAAAGAATCGACTCAAAAAAAAATTTGAGTCGTTTACAAGTCACCATCAACACCCTAATAATCAATGCTAGATCACCCCCTCAGCTTTAGCCATCACTTAACTCCATATTTCAGACTTACAAGAGCCTCAGAGGCTCAGGCACAGGCGCCTAATGAGCCAAAAGCATTTGGCAGTTGGTAGGTACTTAGTCTTACCAAACCAAGTGCCTGCTACACTACCTAGGTACCTACATTTTACATGTCAGAAGTCAGAATTGACACCTGCGGCTGCCTCCCCTTCTCCCAGTCTCAATTTGGTCCCAATAATCAATCAACAGCATAAGAGTTTGGGCGTCTATAGAGTCAAATACGCCCAAACTACCTCTATAGCCTATAAACTACCTATAGGCTATGCTATAATATAAATAAACTCACCTATAAACCGCAAAATTGCGATGCTCAACTGCAAATAAACCACGGCACAAAATGCACATTTTTCCATGAAATATAAGTTTAAAGAGAAACTTGTTTTATGACATCATAAAATCTTCAGAATAATGTAAAGGAGCGGCTTTGAAATATTTCCTCAGCGATCTCCATTCGCCTAAAATATGTACTATGAGTGACGTCATGAATTCGAGAATAGAATGTGAAAGTTTAAGAAAACTACATTAATGGCGCACCAATGACAATTTATTTTTACCAAAAGAGCCACTTGGTCAGTGCTCCGGTGCTCCTGATATCGATTAATATGCAATGACGTCATTTTTAATCTAAAATTGTAGACTAACAATATTTTTTTTTATATTCCTTCATTTTAATCTCAACGTTGAGCCAACATAAATGGTAAGTGCAAGGCCATCTATAGAAAGTGACGAATGGGCTCTATCTAGCTGGCAGCCAGTTGGCACTGCTAAACTAGGTGCCGTTTGGAGAATGTATATTGTATACCTACATTAACTACTTTCAATGAGTCTCAACTCAAGATCATATCTGATTCTGAGGCCTGAGCCACTCATGCAAGGTCATTTCCTCCTCGTTGTCGTGGCCCATGGAGTCCCTGCTGATGGATGCTGAATGTTTCACAGGTGGGATTAATCCTATTTTTGAGGTTGTACTGTTTGAATAATTTTATCTGATAAGTAAGAAGTAGTAACATTTGTCTCATTATCATGTAGAAAAAGTTTGATTAAAAAAACATGAATGCCTCTCGGAACTTGTGCTTTTGAATTTTCAAATAAGACTTTCTAGGCCAGTCTGCAAAACGTGGCAGCCAGCTCGACGAGGTGTTTGGGGCAGCCGGAATCCTGCCCCAAATGGGGCATTTGACTTCCGGGCAGCCCAATTTCTGCCCCAAATGGGGCATCTACTCGGGGCAGGTTAGATTATGCCCTAACCTAAATGAACTACCTATATATGGCATAAAAACCACACATATTAATACATTACCCGTGCAAATGCTGAAATCGGTCGCGGTTGAAACTCTAAACAATTTTTTTACGAAAGGATCTGCTCAACGACGTAGATTCTACGTCGTCCGACCAATCACGTTCCATAACCGCAGCCGAGCCCCCGCTGACCTTGAACGGGATTGGCCAGACGACGTAGAATCTTCGTCGTCCGAGAGACATCGAACACGGGGGCAGTTAGGGTGCAAAACTGCCTCATGTTGCCATGGCAACAGCAAATCAATCTGGAGCGAGGGCGCATTTTGTTTTTGCAACAAAAGATAGGCGCTACCCGGACAATGCCCCAGCCCGCAATGCATAATTGAAAAACTGAAATTACACCTTGTCTCGAGTCTCGACGGTGATCAGCTAGCTTGATGGCTTGGTTTCAAGTGTGCCGAGCCGAGTGTGCTAGTCTCGTAATCTGTAGGTCGCCGGTCGCGTGTTCGCGGCATCATTTGGCCGGACGGCAACTATGTGAGGGTTATACGGCACATTTATGAGTGTTCGATTAGGCTAGGTATGGTTTGGTTTGATTTGATTTGATTCGATTTGGTTAGGCTAGAAAGGAGTTAGCTCCGGGAGCACCTTTCCTTGGTTGCTAATGCGAAACACGGCGCGTAAAACATTCATAGCCCTGATGAAGGGAAGTTTGAATATGGCAGCAGTTTTAAATGACAGTTTCTGCGCTTTAGCGACGATTGTGGCGCAGCCCACTTTTTCTCGCGCGTTTCAACAATACTCCGTTTCTTTATTATTTTCATTCTCCCGGTACCGTGTGCCCCGCCCCGGTCCACCCCGACTGCAAACTGTCTGCCCCGGAATCGCCCAACTGTGCCCCGACTTCTCAAAAGCTGCCCCGATTCCTGCTCCTGCCCCACTGTGTCTGCCCCGACGAGATCTCGTCGAACCCTGCCACGTTTTGCAGACTGGTTTCTAGGTAATAATAAGAGATAGGTCTACTCCTTAGTCCTTACTTATATTATAATTGTCTCTCAGAGTTACTTACAAATTTATCTGACATTGCACTGTTGACTGATGAGTGTTGAAGATAGATAGGTGTAAGGTAGGTACCTATGTGCCTAGTCCTACTAGGTAGCTGCTTGAATCTTTGGTCAAGGCTACTATGCTGCTTAATACAATTGTGGTATGCGGCATATTCATTTTATCATAGCTTTGAGTCAAATAATCAACAAATGCCTATAGTGAGTCATGGGTTGAATGAAATAAGTTCAATAAAAATGTCGTGTGAGTCATGAGTTGATTTGAATCGATTCATCAAAATGTGTGAGTCATGAGTTGATTCGAATCATTCCGTTGGCTAGTTGCTTGAGTCATGAGTTGATTCGAATCATTTTATCGAGGAACTTGATGAGTCATGAGTTGATTCGAATCAATTAAATTTAACATCATGAGTCGTTTGATGAATCGATTCAAATTTCCAGACTCAAAACAAAGAATCGACTCAAAAAAAATTTGAGTCGTTTACAAGTCTGGTCCTGACAGGACTGTGGTGCCCCTGACAGGCCCAAGGTGCCCCTGTAAGGCCTGTGGTACCCCTGCTAGGCCTCTGGTGCCCCTGACAGGCCCATGGTGCCCCTGCGAGGCCGGCGGCGCCCCTGGCAGGTCTCTGGTGTCCCTGACAGACCTGGGGTGCCCCTGACAAGCCTGTGGGGCCCCTCACAGGCCCGTGGTGCCCTTGTTAGGCCTGTGGTGCCCCTGGCGGGCTGGTGGTGCCCCTGCTAGGCCGGTGGTGCCCCTGACAGGCCTGTGGTGCCCCCGGGGCACCAAGGGGGGTCATGACCCATGTGGTCCCCCTTGGATCTGCCACTGGTACATATTATATTGATTTGTAATGGCGTTATGGCTTATGCAATATGCAATTGCAGGCACTTGGTATCCCTCACTTATCCCTCATTGGGGGCTCTGGCGGGCTCCTGAGGGCCCACGTCTATCTCTGGGAGCCCTAGACAGGCTCCTTTGGGTCCTTTCAGTCCACTATAGCATAAGAGGTCTCCATGCGAGTCCTATACATCTGAGGACGTACCCTGACGTCTGAGCTACTCAACTGCAGCTCCAATGGTCTCTTACACTGGCGGATCCAGGGAGGGGGCATTTAGGGCCATGCCCCCTTCCCAGAGGCCTAAAGTGGCCCGTTTGCCCCCTCCCCCAAGCGATAATGAAGCACAGTTCAATCAGTGCCTGGCCCAGGAGCCGAGTTAGACCTCCCATTTTACCACCTCCCGGCCCGCAAAGGGACCCAAGCACTGATTCGAAGCGGGTTAACTGGTCGACAAAAGTAATGGTAAGTGTTTACAAAGTAATATAAAGGCATGGGTCGGGTGGGCTACCATTTATATATTTTTATTTTTAGTTAAAAAAAAAATATTCATAGTGTCAGGGCTGTGACGAAAAATAAGTGGCCTAAATCCGATGAGAAAACAGGATTTGGGGGTACCCTAGGTTTGGCTCCTGCATGAGTTGCCCCCCCCCCCCCCAAAAAAAACGCAAGTCTGGATCCGCCAGTGCCTAAACTATGGTAATGCTTGGCATATTTGGGTGAGGTGTCATACTGAAACATTGTGCCTCAAGTGTAGTGACAAAACGCATGAGGGTGATTGCTCTCTCAAGACCAAGATGCATCCATTGTGAGGGACAAAAGAACAACGCATGACTCGACTGTCTCTCACGAGTCACAACAGCGCCACTTCTTGAAAAAGGAAAGCCATATGCAAGATCAAAGTGACAAAGGATGTGAGCAAATATATGGCACATGACGCACTTACCTTTTAATATTGTCCTGGCCCTTCTTCATCCAGTGAATGCTTCCTGGTTGTTATGCTGCGGTGGCAAATCAAAGACATACAATTGCTGATGACACCCAAGGCGAACATCTGCTTTTGTTCTTCATCTTCAGCCTTCTTGACGCGCACTCCTGAAAAAAACTGAAATACTGATATAGCTATAGTGAGATGTTCTTGTCTAGTGAGTAGTGTTACGACGCACTCTTAACCTTCGCCCCAGTGTGTGTGTGTGGGGGGGGGGGGCATATGTTACCACCCTGTAGCGTTTTTTTTTTTTTGCGTGTGAATAAAAAACCGCGGCGCTACCCGCTTGGAGAAGCCTTTTGTACCTACATCAATTTTGGACAATGTGTGAAAGTTTTTACCCCAGGTCATGTCAGGTCAAGTCACCAGGTGAAGTTAACTGACCAAGCCTAAAAAAGTTTGCAATCATGTCCAGCCTGCAGTGTTTGTCAGAAAGGTTTAAAACTTGGTGGATTGCATGATGTTATGGGCGCCTACAATTTGCATATCTCGGATTTTTTATACCCGTGACCAAAGGTCAGGTCAGTGGCGTAACCTTGCAATTATAAGCCATCGGAGAAAATGAAAATGCCTCTAGATCCGTGTGTACGCATAGGAACAGTCCAAATATTTCAGAATCAATGATTTGAACCACCCGTGACGACCAAGGTGTCTTTTTTGCTTATAGCCTCTAGAAAGGTCATCCGAGGTCATTTGAGGCTACAAACAGATTTTTGCCAATAACTCTTGATTGGAAAGAGATAGGACCCTGGGGATGGTCTCATTGTGTTTGTCTTGTTGAGACGCCTCGACTGATATGCAACATGACCTTTTCCAATCAGGTCATCACCTTGACATGAGGTCAAATTTTCAAGCTGACCTTTCAAGGTCAAATTATAGTTCATTCGACGCGTCTCGGCGAGAGGAACACGATTCTGGCAATAGAAATGTTATGGCTTTTTTTAGTCAAAAGTTATTGTCGAAAAACACATTTAGTAAAAACAGCTATTTTTGGAGTTTTTGCCCTCTGGGTGCTAAACCGTTGACCTAAGGTCAATTTTGATAATGACCTTATCAAAAGAAGAGTACAAAAGCTATCGATTGCTTCAAGCCTTGCAGAATAAACGTAAGCTGTGACTCAACTTTATAACAAAAGAAGCAGAAGAATCAGGTCTCCGCACTGACAGTGGCATTTTCTATGTTTCACGACTTTCAGGTTTAAATCATTGTTGCATGGCTAAGAAAGACAAGTAAAAGAGTAAAATAGATATGGTGCATGCTGCGTACTCAATTTACCATAGATTTTGTTAAGATTTTGTTTTATTTTTTCACTGTTCAAGCTTCCTATGGATTTCAATTAAAAATGCGCTAGTTATGAGCAAACATGTGCAGTGTAAATTGTGCAAAGAAAGTTCACTGATCCTTATGCAAGGTAGCATTACTATTTTCAGTCAGGAGTCCAGGACAGGCTCAGGAACCAGGGCTGTGGAGAAGTTGCTTAGCACACCAAGCTGATGCTCGGAAAGCATCAGTATCTTTGTTTTTATAGCATCAAAGAAAGTATAAAATTATCCAGCCAACTATTTAAATGGCCTGGCATGAGGTATATTTGTTTTGCTGACATATATTCATTAAAAAAGAACAAACAGTAAGCTGACACATGCTAATGTGAACTCTGAATCAGAACAGTTTTATATCTTGTCTCGACACCCATCCAGAATAACCAGCAAGCACATTATCTTTGAGGATATAACAAAATAAACACCCTTTCAAATAGACACCGGCACTGCAGTACAGATTGATATGGATGAAATTTTCTGAAGATATAAACATAACAAATGTAGGTGTACTGATACTCACCTGTTTTGCCCAAATTGAAAGGTATAGCAGGACATTTACATGTCAATATTATGGTGATGATCACTAATTGACGATGTCTTCCACAGAAGCCTAGTTAATTTTCAAAAGAACTTTGTAATAACTTCATATATTTTCACAATATCACGGTAGGTACCGTAAAATGGGGTGTTAAGGGACAGTGGGGTGCTAAGGGACAGTTGTATGGGAAAAACTTTGAGGCATATTAACTTCCTAATTTGAGAAGGTTCAATAAACACTTCAGTGTGGTAGTTGACACTGTTCTGCTCTTGACCATAGGACAAAATGGTATGGTTTTTCATGCAAGTGATTTGGTTCAAAAATGGATTTGAAAATCATGCTACATTTTCACAAAATTGAAACACCTCCAAAACTCTGTGTGTACCACATAAACTAGTGGGTGTACAGGGAAAATGAATGAATAGGTGTATTGTCACATGTATTGCACATGTTTCCTGAAAAACTTGTGCAAATCCACCCACTCATTCACCATCCTCTTCCTCTTTTCCAGATACATGCATATTTTGAGGTGAATGTGGGGTGCTAAGGGACAGGGAAGAAAAATAAAAAAATAATATCTAAATATAATTTCATTAAGTTTTCTTTCAGTAGGCATGGAAAACACCAAATTCCACATAAAATGCTGGCAAGTTCATGCTTTTATCTCTAACACATCTTAAGTTATGTAACAAAACATCTCAACACTCTCTTTTACAATGATGGGTCAATGGAGACTGATGTAGGTAAATGTGATGTCATCATAAAAAGGCTAAAACAAAGAGGGCAACATAATGACAAGTGACTAGCTTCAACATGGGTTTTTGTTGATGACAGAAGGGTACTTTTTGGTTCTGTTTACCTTATAATTAGCACATTTTCCACAAGCGTAAACTGCATTACACGTAATTGGCTAAAAAAGTCATTAGTGGTGAATGAACCTGGCTTGTTTTGTGACTGAATATGCAAAACACTTCAATAAATGAATTGTGTGTCCTTCCACACCCCAATTGTGGGCATTTGACGACCATTTCTTGGAATAATATAAGTGTCCCTTAACACCCCACATTGGGGTGCTAAGGGACAGTGATGAAAAATAATAAAAAATAATATGCAGGTATAAATCTTAAAAACTTTAACATGGCAGGCATGTAAAGCACCAAATTCCACATAAAATGCTGACAATTTGATGCTTCTATCTCCAACCCTTCTTGAGTTATACAACAAAACACCTAAAAACTGTCCCTTAACACCCCGTTTTACGGTAATACAACATACAACCCGCAACAAAAGCTAAACAAGTTTTTGCCGACATTGTATCATGCCCCATTCAGGCCTTTTCTAGGGGGACTGTCTTCTGTGTAAATCAGGAAAACGACAAATGACGTCACCAGGGGTACGGTTATCGTTCATCCCAAAAATTGTAAAACTTTGAGTGAAATATTTAGTTTCGTGCACGTGTCACTTGAAACGAAAATTAACTGGTAAAAGCATACATTGAGTCCGAGTGACTGTTAAAAGATAGTTTTCATATTCTTACATTATTAGGTATGATGGTATCTATTTACTTTAGGACCGGCAGCCTTTACTTTCGTTGCTAACCACAAGTGATAGTAAAAAGTATATCACATGACATATTTTGACCTCCTGATTTCATAGCTGATAGTTATTCATGGCACAAACAAGTTAAAATGCACCAATACAATATTTACTGTCACCGCCGTACCCCCCGCCGACTGCGTATGCGACCCGCCACGCACTGCGCACCAAGGTTGAGTGAATACATATTAATGATGCTATTCAACTGTGGGGAAAATGACGTCATGAAATTTCTCGTTGCGAAGCAGCGCAGTGCCGAAGGCAATGCCTTAGGAGAGATTACAGGCAAAGGTAGGTCAAATATTTTTAGGTTGAGAGAAATGAGAAAATATTTGAAAATGAGAAAATATTTGAAGTTATATGTACTTGATCCACACCCCATACCAAAATACACTTCCACCATGGCCTTTACCCTCGCCAGTCTTCCACAAATTCCTTTTTATTGTGATGAAAAATGACCTTATGCACATGATATATGAAAAACTGAAATAAGACCAAAAAATCATTCATAATGGTCTCATTGTGAAAATCCATCATTCACATTCAAATGGTCATTTTTCATAAATGAAAAAAGTGATGAAGTGATGAAAAATGACCTTATGCACATGATATATGAAAAACTGAAATAAGACCAAAAAATCATTCATAATGGTCTCATTGTGAAAATCCATCATTCACATTCAAATGGTCATTTTTCATCACAATAATATTACTAACGACGCTCAAACATACCATTGCTTACATCCAACGAAAGAATCCTTTTTATTGAAAAAAGCTTCTCCTCCTCGCGCCGTGCGTCCCCACCTCTCAGTATTCGCGCCGCGCGCCAAATGTCTCCCACGTGGAAAGTGGAAACGTAGTGGAAGCAAGGTAAGCAAATAGAGGGCTATCGGGGGTGTCTAAAAAGCAGACAATAATAGTATACGAGCTCATGTGTCGAAACAAATGAGCTGATGAAATACACTTTCACATCAAGTGAACTTTTTAATTATTCGACAACAAAAAAAAAACTTTAGAAGGTATAATTCTTCGTTTATTGATATTGACGATTGATTCCAGGGCATTGATTCATTCTTAGCGGACCGATAGGACCATAGATATAAAGTCTTTATTTCTACGGATAGGATAGGACCAGGGCCTCGTTTCATACACTTTGGGGGGGGCAAATGCCCATTTTGCCCCCCCCCCCTGGATCCGCCACTGCTTGTAAGCAAGAAAGAAGGGAGAAGGGGAAATAAGTTTATCGCTTCACATACACTTGCAATACAAGACCAAAAACCGGGGTAAGTTACGGACTGGGACTCGGTTTATGAAACGAGGCCCAAATCGGTCCAGAAGTTAGTACAAGGGCGTATTATAACCCGGCGTTGCTGGGTATTTCGCCACCCACCGTTTGTTGGGGGGGGGGTTAAACGCCCCCAGCCGATAACTCGAGAAACCAATAGGCGCAGCGAAACGCACGAGGCGGCAAACGAAAGAGCGCGACGAGACGCTTCAGATGAGTACTTTAAAGGGACACTCCCACCTTAACATTAGTTTTGAGTTGAGATAGCCAAATTTGTGGCCATGGCCTGCAAATACCGGTTTGGGCACTCACAGCATCGACAAATGCTTTAATTCGGAGATATGGAATTTCAAACTTGCAGTTTTCGGATTCTAAGGGGCTAGTGCATTGGTATGCCCCCTTAGAATTTGTGACGTCAGCGGAGATCTAACGATTTTTAAATCTTTTACTAAAACGTTGGTAGCACGCGGTGGTATATGCTGCTTTGTGCGCAACAAATGCCGCACTTTCAAATAAAGTCGCTAGGAACAGCGGAGATTCCAAAAAGTAAACAAAAGTAAAAGTTGAATATCTTGAAAACCGGTGAATATTTTTCGATGAAATTTGGTAGATATTCGTTTTCGCTCTTCCTGAACCGAGCGACATCACTTTCGTGCCAATTCATTAACTTTTTTGAAGGTGGGAGGGTCCCTTTAAAGTTGAATTTTGAGGTCACAGGTCCGGTCAAGGTCAGGTCAAACACCTGAAATCGGGCTTTCAGTAGCATGAACTTCAGGACTTCGCAGTGGGCGCCTCTCGTCATAAACTCTGTCAAAACGGTGCACTGGCGGATCCAGGGGGGGCATTTAGGGCCATGCCCCCCCCCAAAGGCCTAAAGTGGCCTGTTTGCCCCCCCCCCCCCCAAAACGTCAGAAGAGTCTTAGATGATGATGTCTTAGACATCATTTATCATCCAAACTAACATGAAATTCGTGATAGTACAAAAAAAACTATTACAGCCTTACTTTAGGAGGTTCTGACAGGTCCTAAATTTCCCGTCTTTTGGATCTGTGACCTGACCTGGGCGGTGTTTCACGGCACGCTGCCAGCCGCTGCCAGCGCTGTTGGCGCTTTTGGTTTCCATGGAGACATCAACAAGCCTATACCTACAACACTACCGAAGGTTGACCTTAGCTCGCGGAATGCGCTGGCATGGCGGCTGGCAGCGCGACCGTGAAACACCGCTCTGAAAGGTCAACCAATGACCAAGGACCTTAAAATCGGGTATCATCGGCTTCCTCTCGTCCCTCACGGGCAACACGCTTGTTTTTTCCGCGAGCTTGATCAGGGGCCGAACGGCAGGGGGGTCCAACCGACACCTCCCAGCCCGCGAAGGCTGTGCTAAGCACCGACCCGGAGCGGGCTAACTGGTCGACAAAAGCAATTTGAAGTGTTTTCAAAGTAATATAAAGGCACGGGTTGGGTGGGCTACCATTTCTATATTCTTTTTTATTTTTCGTTAAAAAAATTATCGTTTCAGGGCTGTGACGAAAAATAAGTGGCCTAAATCCGATGAGAAAACAGGTACCCTAGGTTTGGTTCCTTGCATGAGTTGCCCCCCCCCCCAAAACGCAAGTCTGGATCCGCCAGTGATTAACGGTGCACAATCATTCATATAAGGCCTACACGAGTGTCAGTTCCATGTCAGGGTCAGTCAAGCATAGGTCAGGGTCAAGGTCAGGTCAACCGGGTAAACACATATCCCCGAAAATCAAAACTGATATTCGCAGCCTGTAACACATGTTTTATGGGTAATTTTGGGCGTAAAACAAGATGGTGACATTCATGTTATCATATGTGTACGTGTTTGGTTCAAAATGTCAATGTGAAATACCTACATGTGTCATGGTCGTGAAGTAGTCACGAGAAATTGCCGAGATTCAGTTCAAGATTTTGGAAAATGCGGAAAGATAATCAATAATCGAAGATGGCTAGTTGATTGTTCATGGTATTGGCAGTCTAATGGCGTTACGGCATGTCTTTATGTCTATTCTGTGATTTTATACCTATTATTTTTTTTTAACATAGGGCCGTTTTTGTTCGAAAACTCGGAAATCATGACGTCACTTAAACCTCGATATCTCAAAAAGTTCCGACCGATTTTTTGAAACTTTGTCGCGGTAAACTTCCATCAATTCCCTACAGACAGGTATCCAAATGTTTTTATGCTATGGCCCGGCGAAAAAGTGGGGGCGTTTAACGCTTCCCCCCCCCCCCAGCAACTCGCGGGATAAGGGATTTTCACTGGGTCGGCTATAACGATTAGAATTTAGGGGCGGCATTTCGAATTTTTGCATCTGATGGGGCGGTGCACTTAGCATCTGATAGGGGCGGCACTATAGGCATACCGATGACGGATCTTTGGTGTCCAAAAAAAGGCGCATTAGATAGGTTTTTGTAACTTCTCTGAGTAGGTAATGACTCGGATTTAACTTTAGATCAACGGTAGTTTAGGTACCTACTAACTATTACGCTTATTTACCTTACCAGGATAGTACCTATTTCTCTCGTCCTAATGCTCGAAACCACCTAATTATAATTTGACCTTAAAAAGTAAAGTAGAAAAGTTGACCGTAGTTAAGTTCATGACCTAACCGGAAAAAAGACAAGCATACCTACCAGTCGATCCGTATCGTCAAGCTGAAAACATTCAATTTGTTTTATGGCCCTAGAACAGTGGTCGGCAGGTCCTACGGGGTGGTGCCCACTTTTTGGGCCTGAATTGAGTCATTAATGAAATCCCACTTATCATACCCAATTGCTTTGCTTTATGCTTATATAGCAAGGGTCTTTGATATTTCCTTTCTTTTGGTGCCTTTATTTTTCTGCGTTCTTTCTATCAGGTAGGTACCATTTTCCCGAACTTGGGTCATTGACCTGATCTGGAAGGTCAACGTAAGACCTAAACCTTCGCCGTGCTGTGGGGTTTTTTACCCCCCCCCCCCAAATACGGCGTTGCGCAGCGGCTCCGTTTATGGCATAGCATCTTCTGCAGCATGCTTTCCGCGATAACTAATTTTCGGAATTGCGATAACGATAAAACGATAAGAAAGGTTTGCGATAACGATAAACGGTAAACGGTAATATTTTTTTAAATTAACAGCGATAGCGATGAAACGATAAAACGATAACGATAAATGTTTTTTAACAGCGATAACGAAACGATAAACGAAAAACGATAACGATAATTGTTTTTAACGGCGATAACGAAACGATAAACGATACAACGATAACGATTAATTGTTCTTTAACAGCGATAACAAAAGCGATAAGAAATACAGCTTAAATAAGTGTAGGGTAAGGTGCCTAATTAGCGACCCCCTTAATTTGAACCGTCATTGCTCACGCTCTGTGGGTGCCACTGTATTACGGGCTTGATTTTCGGAGAGATCGTTTATTTTTCTATTAAAATATAGTCATTTTCTGTCCCAATATTCACTAGCTTATTTGTAGTGAGCATTTTGGCAAACCATTGCAAAAAACGCTAATAGGGAACTCTTCCCGATTAGCGACCGGGGAGGGTCGCTAATAAGTCTATGGGTTTCCCCATATTAAAAATGGCAAAAAATGCGACGCCTGGAAAGATGAAATATGATCTCAAAAAGGTAACCTTTACGCAAAGCACTCAATCACTCGAACAGGAACGTTTATCCAACACATTTACGTAAGTAAAAACTGATCACGCGATGCACCGAAGGCGAAAAGAAGGCGGAAACCCACATTTTGCGGGCTATCTCGTATGATATTCGAGGTCCGCGCTGAATTCGGCACCCCTGCAGTCGGTGACGACATTTGGCATCCCCTGCCACACATTGCAAGCTTCAGCAACACCTCATTTTCATTTCTGTCTTTTCCCCTTTCTTTCCCTTCTTGAGCTATTTGCGACCATGTCAGGCGCAAATAGGAAATATGAGTTGCGACACATTTTTAACCGCCATGCTGTGCACAGTTGAGCGATTCACTATGGGAAAACGGCAATCAATTGAAAAAGGAATGTCGATTCAGAATAAAAAAGGTCCATCATCCTAATGTGCATCGCTTTTCATCAGAGATGGCCCAAACACACAAGTTTTGGATAAGAAACTCGTCATCTTTATTTAAACTCATCTGAAACGTCCCACCAAAAATATCGACGACCGGAAAATAATTTAATTTGATAACCAAAGGATGGCTGAGCTTTTGACGATGTTTTTACCCCGTTTTCTCCTACCAGTTTTCCTGTAGGGAGGTAGGTCGCAAATCGGAAAGGGTCGCTAATTAGGCACCTTACCCTACTTAAAGTACATATTTGCAGATATGTACTTTATATACATATACATACTTTATATACACTTTATATACCATACTTCATATATACTTTATATACATATACATATGTATTTGCAGATCTATACACTTAGCAGATGGCAACAGGTTGCGCACACATACTGTCGCGCGGCATACACTGTCGATCGTCTTCCATTTTTACATCATCCCGTTTTACATTTTATCGTTTATCGTTCATCATCTTTGTAACTTGCGATAAGTGGATGAGCGATAATTCTGAAAACTTAGCGATAAACGATAACGATAACCAATAAAAATAAGGAAAGGGGTACAAAAAAAAACTCCGCAGCCACTTCTCACCGGGAGGCCCGACACACGTCAAATCGTGCCCCATAGAACGACAAAGGAACGGCTCCCAAAGAACGACAAAAAAAAAAAAACAACAACTGTGCATTGCTTCGGTACTTTCGTAAATAAAGTGTGGTGGACA